GACTGGGTTCCCAGTTAAGAGGCTGGCACGGTGGCTGTTCTGGTGGTAGCCCCCCCGGGGGCAGATTCGTGCCTTGTTATCTGGGAACGGTTTCAACCTGTTGCTCCTGAGGAAGGCTGTCGGAGGTCCGAGGAGGAGATGGAGCCGGGGCAAATGAAGGGGGTGGGCGCAGTCCCTATGGCCTATAAGGTATGACCTAGGGACAAGGACGAGGCAGTCCTGGGTCTCTCAGGCCTCCTCAGAGGAGTAGGCAGACAGGGAGGGAGGGTGCAGGCAGATCAAGGAAGGGGAGAGTAGATGGAAAGGCGCAGGCAGCGGAGCAGAGGAGCTCAGGAAACAAGCGAATGCTTCCTCACCCGATCCCCCCGTGTGCAGATAGTGGAGAGGGGGAAGAGTCAGCGCAGGGTGACCCAACTACTCGGGAGAAAGGTGCCCCACCCCTCCTCAGGAGGGTCAGCTGGAGAATAGCAGCACTTAAGGAGAGGCTGTGGGGAGGGGCTTTTGTCGGGGACAAGGGTTGGATTTTGCAGCAATGCTCTCCATGGCTTCTGGAATCCTTTTGGTTGTTGACTGAAGTTTGATTCTTTGCCTGGATGTCGGTGGACTTCCACTGGCAGGAAGTTGCACGAAGCATGTACAGGCTCATGGGTTTGAGCCTTGCTCTTGGGCTATAGGTGTGCCCTGTGGGCAGAGACTTTGGGGAACCCTAACCCTAACCTGATACGCCCCTTCTCTGGGCAGGTGGAGATAGCAGCCATGCATGGGTTAACTCAGCCAGTAACCAATAGAACTGAGTCTACCAAAATGATGTCATAGCCTCTGAGGAGTGTCCTCCCGCTTTCTTGATGAAGGAGATAAGTAGAGCGCTGTGTGATATCCGACTGCTCTCTGTCCATCTTTGCTCAAGGGCACCTCACCACTGTCCCTCTGCGACCCAGTCCTGATCGAACTGAGCCTAAAAAAGCGGGAGGACACTCCTCAGAGGCCATGACGTCATTTTGGTAGACTCAGTCCTATTGGTTACTGGCTGAGTTAAGCCATGCATGGCTGCTGTCTCCACCGATTTGGGAGAACAGACTGGGAATTGCTGGATTGTGGGGATTTGGGGGGATGGTGATGAATTATGAATAAAGGCTCACAAGCTTTCACCTAACACGTGTTGCTTGTGCGCCAACCCTGGATCATAACAGCTCAGTACACTCTCCGCTGCCATTGAACATCTACATGAAGCCGTTGGGTGAGATCATTCGTCACCATGGACTGAGGTGTCTCAATATACGGATGAAAGCTGTAAGCCTCAGCCTGCAGTGAGCTATGCGGTGACCTCCCTCTGACAGTGTCTGGAGACTGTTAGGGGCTAGATAGGGAGTGATGGGTTGAAACTGAACCCTGGAAAAGCCAGAAGCCCTTTGCGCCATCTCGGGTTGTACGCCATTTACACCCTTTCCTGAACCAACAATCCCTCCTCATGGTCACTCATGTCCTAGTCACGCAATAGTCTTGACTACTGCAACATACTCTACATGGGGCTGCCCCTGAACAGCATCCATAGGCTCTAGTTGGTGCACAATGCATGGTTTTGTGCAGACCTTGGTGTGCACATGTATCACCTCTCCTGCGGGAACCGTATTGGTTGCTGATTTGCTTCCGGGTGCAATTCAAGGTGCTGGTTGTCACCTTTAAAGTCCTTCATGGCTTGGGGCCAGGTTATCTGAGCGTCCGTCTCTTGCTGATCACATCTACCCAGCCCACTAGTGCAGGGAGGCAAGGAATGTAATGGATCCCATCCTCTAGGGCAGTGATGGCTAACCTTTTTGTTCTTAGGTGCCAAAAATGTGAGTGTGCGTGCACAATAGCGGGTAGGATGCTGGCATCCATAATGCAAAGTGCCACCCTCATGCAAATGCAAGCACAACTCCCCCCCCCCCCCCAATGTGTGCCGCATGGCTCACCTCCAAGCTGAGCTTGGTATTTCCTCCGGGGTGTGTGGGGGAGGCCGTTTTTGCCCTCCCCAGGCTCCAGGAAAGGCTCCGGAGTCTGGGGAGGATTGAAAACAGCTCCCCCCAGCCCTCTGGAAGGCCGAAAATCAGCTGGCCGGTGCACGCGTGCGTGTGGCAGCTCACGTGCCGGCAGATATGGCTCCTCATGCCACCTGTGGTACGCGTGCCATAGGCTTGCCCATCATAGCCCGAAGGCATGGGTTTGCAACCTAAAACATTCAAAGAGCCATTTGGCCCAGTTCTCACAGAAAACAAAACACCAGGAGCCACAAAACCTGGTTGAGCATGGCTAACTCAATATCACTCCCTCCCACCGAGTCCCTCCCTCCCACTGAGTCTCTCCCACTCAGGTTCTGTGGCTCTCTGTGTTTTATTTTCTGTGGGAAATAGGTATCTCCCTCCCTCC